CTGCCGCCACCTTGAACCATTTTACTCATGTGTGAGCCCTGTGGGCCCGTGAGTTCGTGACCACGGCCAAAGCCTTTGGAAGACGTAGCTGCCTGCAGCATACATCTTGATGAGTGAGGGTTGGCCTAGAGGGTGTTTTTTTTTTTTTTTTTTTTGATGGCTTGCCCACAGAGATGGAGACGTCGGCATTTGTTTGACTTGGTTCCCGTTTTCCTTGAGAAGATGATTTCGTAGGAATTATACTCAGAGGCTAGGTCTCTGTGTCCTCAAGATTCACCTGATTTCCTAAACCCCCCCCACCCCCACGCCCCCCATGCTGATCTGATGTTTGCCCGTTTTCTCAGCCTATGGGAGGATGTGTCCACGCAGGAAATAGCAATTTCTCTAGTATGACACAGGGATATGACTGCTTTTACTTGGAGAGTTTGAGGCAGACCTGTTGTGCCATCTTGGAGCTATCTGATTCCGATACCTTGTTGACAGCTTGCCCTTATTAAATCATGCCCAAAGTGAGCCCCGCAGCTACTGACAAGGGATGATGCCAAGGAGCTTAGGAGCGCCTGGGTGGCCTCAGCAGACCTGAATAATAGTCTGTCTGTGGCTCCCCAGGAGCTGTGAGCTGTTTTTTTCTTAGCATTGGTATGACAAGCACCAAAATCATTTATCAAGTGCAGCTGTATCTGATGCCATATAAGGGACGATAAACGAAGTGATACAATACTATCTGAGAGCTTATAAAGTGATTCATAATTAGGCACAGTTGGATGATACCATCAGGAGTCTGTCTTGGCAGTAGCATGGATCTCAGACTGGGCTTGAGCACTGACTCCGACACTCAATAGTTACGTAAACTTGCACAAGTCTTTTAACTTGGTGAACTTCAAAGGAAAAATAATGGTAACATGAGTGAGAACTTAGAGCCATTAAGAACTCTGGAGATCCCCCTCTCCCTCCGTTTTACTAGTTGTAGTGAATTAACTTCAAAAGTCTCAGGTGAAAGGGGTGCCTGGGTGGCTCAGCAGGCGGGAAGCCTGCTTCTCCCTCTCCAACTCCCCCTGCTTGTGTTCCCTCTCTCGCTGTGTCTCTCTCTGTCAAATAAATAAAATCTTTAGAAAAAAAAGTCTCATGTGCAAAACCAGTACTTTCCTAATAGGATTTGTATGATTAAATGAGAGAATACTGGGGCGCCTGGGTGGATCAGTAGGTTAAGCGTCTGCCTTCTGCTCAGGTCATGATCCTGGGGTCCTGGGGTCCAGCCCTGATTGGGGGGGGTCCCTGCTCAGCAGGGAGTCTGCTTCTCCCTCTGCCCCTCACCCCTGCTCATACTCTTATCGCTGTCTCTCTCAAATAAATAAATAAAATCTTAAAAAAAAATTAAATGAGAGAATACTTGGGCTCAGCATGTGGTAGGTATGAGGTACGGTTCCCCCAGAGCGCACAGCCTGGCGTAAAGTGAGCCATCAGAAACGCTGGTTCCCTCTCACTCGTACATGTATGTGCCTTACTGCTTTGGACACTAAGAGTTTTAGCAAATGGTTGCACTGCCCCACACATATTTAATGAACTGATCTTATACTGATCTTACGGTGGAAAGTCTTCACGTGTATGAATATCAAGTCATTTTGCTAAAGGTGTGGCTTCTTAATTGGAGCAGTTTGTGTAAAGAGTTAGAAATAATTTATAGAGTTTCAGATACTGCAGGGGAATGCATTGGTTAAAACAAAAATGAGAAGGCTGGATCTTAAGGATGTAATAATGTAATAATGTGAGTTACTGCCTGTTCCCTTTAGGAATGAGTTGCTGGCTGCAGAAGTCTTTATCTCGCCTCCCAGATCGAGCAGAATACAAAGGTCGCAATGCCAATTTCATCTGAAACTTGTTTTGCAGTGTCTTGGTTTTTAGGAAAAGACTTGCGGTTGCTATGGAACTGTTAATAATGATTGCTGCCCGTTCCTCAATCCCTCAGACTCCCAATCTCCGATGTAAAATCATTTAGACCTGGGCTGTAGGGCAGTAAACAAACTTTCAAGAAAGAATTAACTGGACTTGGGCATTTGTGTCTTAATGTCGGAAATGCCTTTCATTATAACCTTTACTTACACCAGCAGCTTGGCTACGTGGAAAGAGCCTCTAGTCTGTTGACGGTGGACTGAAACGCATGAGCAGTGCTAAAAACTGGAACATTTTGGGCTTTCATCATACGATAAATGTGAAAAATCTTTATTTTGTGCTGAAGTGGCCTTAGCGTGGAGCTTTTATTTTCATGCATAAAAAGAAATTCAGCCATATACTAGATTCCTAAGTGGAAAGAGGAAATTATTCCTGTTGAAATATATATGTCTGTATATTTTAAAAATAAAATCTTGCAGTAAAGCGACATCTTTGCTGTATTTCTGTGAGATTTGTGATCCATGTAATAGATGTGTCTTGCTCCTGAATTATATTTCTGAGATATGGATCTCAGTGCTTATTAATGTATAACCAATCTTTGGGGGAAAACTAATCCAGTTCTTGAGCTCCAGGCACATAAAGTTAGGAACAGGTTATTGGGTGGGTAGAAAGAAGACATATCTAATTTGGGGACTTTTCAGCCTCACCAGTATGCAAATAATTCAACAATAATACAGAATAAATAGCTTCCGTTTCCACAACTGCTGCTCTCTCTAATCCCTACAGGATGTGTTTTCCAACAATTATCTGGCCTAATTCGCTGTTTTATTGCTTAGAATTTTAATGCTTCAAATGTGGAACACAGAATAAATGTTTGTCAGTAAAATCTAAAAAGATTTAAGTGTGAATTTTCACCAGCATGCAAATAGTTTGCAGGAACAAATGGCATAAGTATTTTTGGAAAGAAAGTGTAAAAATTCCATTAGCTCTGGATCCCCCAACTCTTTGGCTGCAAGAAGTGACAGCAACTTCATAAAGGTTAAATAGGCAAGCTTAGGGCCCAGAGTGAAATTAAGTCTTCTACCAAGTGTATGGTGCCGCCGAAGACAAAGGTTTCTCTGTGTGAATAAACTGAACATACAGTTCAATACATTCATGTTTGCAGGGCTATTTAAGGTATTATAAGGTCTGGTATAAAACAATAAAAATGCAGATGGAACTATCAAATTTATCAAGCCGCTGCAATATATTCAGATGCTCTCCAGAGCTGGCAAGGTGATGTCAAGAAAGTTAAACTTGAAGAATGAGCCTTGGATTTCTAAATGAGATCACAGGAAAAAGAAAGCAGAGTTAATAGGGGAAATCGAGACTGAAACAATCAACGTTACAGCTCCGTTTGGGGGAAGAGTTTAAAAATAAATTCTTTTTGCTTGTTCTAAAATTGTTCTGCCAAAAACCCGACATTGTTATATACTTTTTATTTTTTGGTTTATTTAGTCTTCTTTAACACAGCCATTGTTAGTGCAACAATCTAATATTTGGGGTACATTATTGCAAAATAAGGACATAGCTGTATAGATTATGCTGTCAATACGTTTGTTAATCCTATTTTTCCTTCTATAACACAAAGCATCGTTTGTTAACACAGTCTTGGATTACTTATATTTGTAAAGGTTACTTACGGTGAGTGGTACATACAAAAGGTAGGGAGTTTGCTCCCTAGTACAACTGTCTCTAAACTAAAATTTAATAGTTTTCTCAAAACATTAGCATTCTGTAATTAAAAATAGGTAAAGCAATATTTTAGTATAATGTTAGGCAGTAGTAAAAATTATCCTGTCTGAATAAATGTGCACATATACACTAGCATGCTTTCAGAAGAGTCATACTAATATTCTGTGAAATTAATATATAAATAAAATATGACCTGGGATGAAATTAGCAATATGTACAAAAAGGAAAAACAGAATCCTTCCCTTCTCAAACCTGTTGATTTTAACATCTTTCTAGACCTACATTACATCATCTGAAGTGTAAAGGTTATTTCAAATTTGGAAAACATGAGAGAATAGTAGGATCCAACTTCCTATAAAAGACAGTACATAGGAATTTTGAAGATTTATGTTCATTCCAATGTTAAAGAGACAACATCCTTTTAAACCTCCTTGGAGAAATATTTGTAATGTCTTTTATTTATTAAGAAGAATCCAGCCTTAACACAGTAAACTATGTTTTTTATATTATTTGAAAATATTAGAAAATAAAAATATTGTGAAGATAGGACATATTATTCCAGGATATATGAAACTCTTTAGAATTGTTATTTAAGGAACGGAATACTTGAGTTAATACTGTAAATATTTTATTTCTAAGCACATAGTTTTTCCTCTCTCTTCATTCTCTTTGGCATTCTTCCTTTCCTGTTTCTCTTATTTTCCAACTTCTCCTTCTTAGTTTTCTTTCTCTGATAGTCCTGGCTTTTCTACATCTTACTTTATTAGCTGACTATTATAGTCTCTCAATTTTTTTCCTTCATTTTCAATAAGACACTGGTTTCTACTAAGTGAATAACAAACTGGACCTTCTCTTTCACCTTTTTTTAAAAGTGGGTTTTTTTCCCCTTAAAATATAAAGTAGTTATGTCTTTAGCTTAAATACATATGTATATTATATATCACACACTTGAAATACAATAATTAGCTTCACAGAGTTCTGTGGAAATTCAATATAGTACTGGTACACTATTCAGCAAGCTTATGGAATGACAAAAAATGAATCACATTTCATGACTAAGATCTTAAGTAGCCTCTGGATTTTCTAACAAAGCCAAACTGATCAGCGTTTTGCAGCTGTTCCATTTCTTCTTCCGTGCAGTCTTGGAGAAATTCTATAAAAATAGAACCTAACAGCAAGTTAGAAGTAGAGCTCCTGACAGGTTGCCTTCAGAGTAAATCTTGGTCATGAGCGTGCTGCTGCTACGTCGTCAATGGTGGCTGTTTGGACAAGGACGCAGCAGTGACTGGGCAGTGCTGGAGCTGTCTAGGGGGCTGTCCTGCACCCTGGTTACCCATTTAAATGAAGGCACAGGCTGGGCCCAGTGTGCTGTGCATTTAGGCGGTCTGGTCCACCTGGAGCACTGCAGGCTGCACTGCGTCCTCATCGGACTGCTCTGCATCCTCAGACGTTAGCAGGTAGCCCTCCTCATAGCTAACCTTCTGCGCCTGTTCCACCGCCACCGACTCCTCTTCTTCATCTTCCTTAATTGTCAAGTTGATGTTGCTAGCCAAGCCCGAGCTGCTCCCCCTGGAGGCTGCCCTCCCTGCATCCCCCTCCTTGCTCTTCCCTTCCACCGTAGCACTGGGCTGGGACATTTCAGAGAGACCCTCCGCGACTGAGCTCTCTTCAGGCTCATCTGGTATCTGGTCACTGCTAGGCATGTCTTCTGACTTGGTCTCATTTTCTGTAGGGCTGTCTCCCTCTTGGACTTTCTTTCGACCGAAGGTGAGGGGAGAAACCTTGAAGGGGGAGCTTTTGCCAGAGGATATCTTCTGGTGATTGGAAGTGAGGGATTTCTTAATCTTCTCTCGCCTCTCTGCAGATACGATCTTTGTCCCCAGCTTGTTCATTTTTTTCTCGATGTTCTGGCGAGAAAATGCTTTCTTGAGGCTATCCACTTTCCGGAGGCTAGATCTTTTTATTTTCTCTGCCCTACTTTCTTCCATCTTTTCCTCTGCACTGTCTTCCAGGGCCTCCTCATCGTGGGGCAATTCATCATCTGATGAGAGGTCCACCGTGTGCAGGGTTTCCTCCAGGGACTTGTTTTCATCAGCAAGCTCCTCCTTCTCCTCCGCTGGGCTGGAAGCCGGCTCCTTCACAAACACACTGGCAGGGATCTCATTTTCTTCCTGAAAAGATGGACAATGTAGATTTCATGTTAATAACAGAGTTCACAAATGTTCTGAAATGCTGTAATTTGCTGTGTTGGTCTTTCTGGCACAGGGTAGAAAGACAGATAGAAACGAAACCTCTGTGGCTTCGGTTTTCTAGAATGTGAGGAGTTAATTCTCAACTGGTCAAGTCATTCCCCTAGGCTGGATAAGGGGCAAGGACTGCTTACTGGGAATCTTATGAAGGCAGGTGGCAAGGGCTCTATCAGTGACAGGCAGCAAGGGAAGTGGGCTGTGGTTCTGATAGACCAGGAAGTCGCCTAGATAAAGGAGCTAAAGTAAGTTACTGTGAACCCCAGAGGCCTCTCTCTCCTATCCTCCTTCAAGGCCAGATGGCTCTGTCCCTGCCAAAATCTCACTGCAAAAGAGCCTGGAGGCCAAATTAGAAGATAAAAGATGGGGGCAAGGGAGAGGATTGGGAAGTCCTCAGGTATCGGACACCATGTAAAGCCTTGACTGGGTTCCCTCCCCAGCTGAGTCAGAAGTAAAAGTATGGTCAACCTTGGGGTCTGTTTGAAACTGCACACTAATTTTTCTGATGACATAACTTTAGAGTAAGAGAAGCAAGGGCCAGCCTTACTGGGGGCCCACCCCTGGAACCTTGTGGTTTAGGATATCCTTTGTGGGCATTAATAAGCAGAGGTGGCATGCCATGGCCATTTTTAGAGTCGTGAGCAGGAATTCTGAAGTAGCTTATCAAGGCTCTATTGTTATCCAGGGCTTCCTTGGGCAAGAATACTTTGGGCCCCCACCTAGAGCTAAGACTGAGGAGAGAGCTCAGGAATCTGCCTCCTTCCCTGTACTATTCCCAGCATACCTCTTCCTCCAGCTTCTAGCACACAGGCAAAGGTCTGCCCCTCCCTGTGTCTCGGGGAGCAGAGCCCAAGAACGTGCCTCCAGAGTGCAAGGGCAATGGTGCTCCAACACTGCTAAGTGGGTGGATAGGAATTCAGACGGACTTGGTCACCCAACATAGGAATTCCTTTCATTTTTAAAATTTTTCTTTGAATACTGGATTAACGACAGCCAGCCAGCAAGGGGTCTTCACATTTTCATGGGAAGAAATGGCACAGTAGAAAGAACATGTGACAGGAGGCTGAGTCTCAGTCTCTGCTGGATTGCTGAATGGCTGGGTGGCTTTCAGCAAATAATCTCCTTGGATCTCAGTTTTTTCTAAATATGAAGAGGATTTGACCCCAATGAGCAGCCTTCAAACTGCACTCCAGGGACACTTGGGGCTCTGTAGGCATGCTGAGGTGGGCCAGGCTTCAGAGCCCAGGCCCACCCTGGCTTCAACCAGAGCTTCGATGTCTGGATTATAACGTGGACTGCCCAGCAGACTCTAAGTTTGAAAAATAACCAGATTTCGTACATTCAAAAGTCAATCTGGGATCTAAACTTCCTGTAAAGTTTGTGTTAACAGTAAGAATTTCCCTTCTTGTTTTGCAATTTTCACCGAAAAGTCAGTAACATTGAGGTTATGATCAAACACATGCTCTAGGAGTGTACCTGCCTACATACTTTTTAACTTTTTGCTTACAAAAGCTAAATGAACAAAGTTTGATTTAGAGAAACTGAAAAGTCCCTCCCCTTATTAACCACTGAATAGTATAACTGTGATACTCTGAAAAGATACAGCCCCACGTCTTCCCCTCACACACACCTACTGGTACCATGGTCCTTTCCGTAAATTGGTTACAAACAAAGGATAAAGTCTTTTTTTTTTTATTGTTATGTTAACCACCATACATTATATCATTAGTTTTTGATAACAAAGGATAAAGTCTTGGGCAGAGGTAAATAGCAGAAAATCTGGTTAAATAGAATCTCCGTTAGAGTAAAGAAATCACAGATTCTGTTTCCCAAAGCTCTCTCCACAACCACCCATTTTGAATGTAATAGAAAGTGTCAGGAACACAGTATAAAAGACAAAAAAATTTGAAAGGAGTATGGGGTTCCCATGAGTCACTGATGACATAGACTTTTCCAGAGAGTTGACTTCCCCATGTTTCAAGTCTTATCTTGCTATTTCGCTGGCATGTACTCCCCATGAGGGTGGCAATTTTTGTCTCTTGTTCACTGTTAGGCCCCAGCGACTAGAATACTTCCTGGCAGCGCAATAGCCATTTGCTGAATGAGCACCTGTTGGCTAAGGTGGCTTTCTAAGAAAGGCCTGTGGGTGACTGCAATAGAAATTAACCCTACCTTTTGGGTAGGCTTGAGAACTACAAAAGAATGGGCTTAGCTCTGTGTCTTAGAAGGAAGTTTGTTGAGTGTAGCTCCATTGGGAAATGAGGAGAACCTCGGCCTAAGGGGCACAGTGGTTTCCATTTTTAAGGAAGGGTGTCATTCTCAGTGGATGAGCATCACCAGAAGGGAGGCCCACTATAGAGATAGCTAAGGCCCCAATGCTTAGTCTAGAAGCAAAATTACTTCTGGGGTTTGACGAGAGGGCTGGGAGATTTTGATAGGAGCTGTTTGCAGGAAAAGCAGAAACCAAGAACTCAGTGAAATGTTACTGCAAGTCCTCAGTGAAGGAAGCAGAAATTTGGGTGGGAAACTACACAAATAAGCCTTGGTTCCCAGAGCAGAGATACGTTTTCTATGGTCTAAGCTCTCCGGGGGTAATCAGAGGGTTACCCTGATAACTTCCCTTTCTTCAACCTTAACAGAGAGGGAAACATAGTAACTGTACTTAGAATTAAACAATGCTGCCTTTTTTCTTAAATGTGCATTTTGTTATTAAGACAGCATAGTTCCTGTTGAGTCGGAAACTCTGGTCTTGCTCCTGACATGTCCTTTGGGGACAGCTTTGAGGAAAGTGCAAGGTCAGGTGAGTCAGCAGCAATGTCTGGTAGATACACACGGCACGTAGAAGCACAGCTGAGGGATGGAGGGAGACCTGTTGAACTCCTTCCTCCAACGAACGCCTGGGACCTTGATTCAAGAGCGCTTACGCCAACTCTGAAAGTAAACCCAGCGACAACAGACATAATCCAGAATGAGTTAGCTGTGCCTTCATAAAACTGGAAACAAGTGAGATAGGTCTTTTTGCCTAACTGCTTTATGCTTCTGTTGTCACTGTTATTACTTGAGCCGTATTCTGTATTCTGTCTGCCGGACAGCGTTTATTCTATGGTGGCCCATGGCATCCAGTCCGAGGGCAAGCCCCTTCCTTTCCCACAGGGGTCTGCCGATATCTGAGCACACGCAGCTCTTACCTTTCCGTTCTGTGTCTGTAGAAGCAGGAAATACAGACACTTCTTCAAAATCTCTCTTGCTTGCCCTGTGTTGGACTATGAAGTAGCTGTTACGATGGAGGAAATTCAGCTGGCATTTCAGACAGCAGACCTTCTAGAACTGTGCTGTCCCCGGGGGCCCAGTCTTCCCTGCACGTGGGCCATTGCTCGGTCCTCTCACGGGTCCTCATGGAAACATTTGATGATAGCTCACCCGTCTACAGGTGAAGGGACACTTCCCCTTCAGCCTCCCGTCCTCATCGTTTTGATCTGCCTTCTCTCACAGAGTCCAATACCGACGGCTCCTTCCAGGGGGAGGGCCAAGCTTACGGCCTCAGTTCCATCACTGCTTGACTCTGTTAGTTACTCATGTATCTACTTCGGGTTTGTGACTCCTTAACGTGGCATGAAGAATCCTTGGTGGGCTGCAATCCTTTCTTGGGCCCTTCTATCTAGTAGTCCCCCCAAGAGCGGCTGACTGTTTGCCTGACAGATTTCTTTTCAAAAAGGTACTCAGCCACCACCGATGCCGCTGCTCCAAGTTCTGACCTTTCACGAGAACCCATAGGAGTTTTTCAAAGGAAGGGAGAGTTGAACAGCCCACTTCAAACACATATGAATGATGTGCTTGCAGCACGAAAGAGAAAAGGAATGGAAAGAACTCTTGAGAAGTGGCATTTTTCCTTATGCTTTAGCTTGTTGGCTATTTATATTGATTCTCACGAACTAACTGTCCTGGTTGTACATGCAGATATCAACACAGAGAAACTTGCCAACTTGCCAAGCACCTCTTGGGTTGGAGCTCATGGAAGCAAATCTTTGCTCGTAAGAAGCATACACTTTAAAAGAGAAGGAGATTCTACGACCAGCGTTAGAAAAGGAAGCCTAGAGACAAAGCTTGAATGAGGGGAGAGAAGCCAGCAATCTGTTCTTTTGTCCCTAACTTAGGATCTCTGTCGTTAGAAGAAATTAACTTCGGTTGTCACAGTCCCACAGGGATGTGGTGGCATCCTGAAGGGATATGAGGATCATAAATTTGTGTCCATGGGATGTTTTAGTCAATAATCTCTAAATACTAGTTATTAAAATGGAACTATGCCCACCTGACATTCTGATTTATAGGTCTCTTTTACACATTGATGGTTTTCTCCAATTTGTGTTTCTGTGGTATAGATCGCCAAGTGGATAAAGCCATTGATTAGAACTGCACCCCTAAGCCAGCTGTCGGTAGACTCAGCGAGTCATAAGAATAAAATGCATTAGTAATAATCCCTGAGCAGTCTTTCACATTGTGGAGGATTTAAAAGTTTCATTATTTTTCAGTGTTATCAAGGGTTCAATTCTTTTTTAAGATCACACTGGTTAGGTATTCTTTGTTACCCACCAAACAAAACAAAACAAAAAACCAAAAAAACAAAAAACAAAAAAAAACCCACCACAAAACGGAAAACAAATCATTCTGAATTATTCAAAAGCTGGTGAAGAAAACCCAGTAAACATGAACTTTGCCATAGTGGGAATACAGCGTTTGTTTTTACTCATTTTACCATTCGACTCTATAATTTCTATTATTGATAAAAGGAAACCTTGCTAGTCACTTTCTCAGGGCCTCTGTTTCTTTGATATAAAATGAGATTAGACTAAGTGATTATTAAGGTTCTTTCCAGCTCCAAGACATTTGATTTTCTGGTATTAATGTAAATCCCATGAAAAATAATTAACAAATTTCAGAAGAGATCTCCCAGTGTACTAACGCCAAACAGGTTTCATTTCATGCAAGAATCCAAACTATAGGACCTGAGATGCCCTGGAGAATGTCTTTCATTCTTTCAATTCTAACAGGTCCAGATTGCAAAACAATGGAGGGGGCCACATTTATGTGGAAGGACTGCATCTGAGAAACAGTCTAGTTTTTTAATAAATGAGAGAAAGTAATGATTCTTTTGAAGAAACAATAATCACTTATTCACTTAACATGTCTGAGGCAGTGCTCACATTCAATAAGTGCAAATAATAATAATGAGAGTTAGTATTTTGTTTATCTCAGAAACTCAAAGGGCATGGGATAAGTCACACATCAAAACCAATTCCCCATTATGGGAACGTTAATCAATGTGACATAAACATGGTGAGTTGTCACATAAACGTGTCTTTGATTTTCTGTATTCCCATTTCTTCTACAGCTGTAAAAATTTAGCAGTTTTCAGAACAGTGTCTTTGGATAAAGTACTGTCTTTAAGAAAAAATCAACTTGAAAATAGTCTGAAGAGGTTACACTTTTAGCACTTTTCTCAAATTCTGATCTCATCAAAGGAAGCCAAATGATGAAGATTTGAACACACTGATAGGCCTGATTCTCCACGAATGTGTCCACAGCAAACACCCAACCTCTACTCTTTTCACCCAATTTCACAATTTTATGTGGATGAAAGTGTAAGCTGTCCATGAGTACTCTCATTTTGTTCCCTAGATTGGAAATCATTCCCAAACTGCTTTTTCAGATAATCATCGCTAGAACCTTAAGGCATGAGTGGGTGCCACCCCCTCACGGCCAGTTGCCTATGAGGTTCTAGGCTCTTCAATCAACAGAGAAAACTCCCTTTTAACAGTAAATTCACTGATTTTCTGTATAAATTCCATTTTTAGGTAAACATAGCCATACTTACAGGCAAAGCATTAGTCTTATTAGTCTTTAGCATTTTCTTTTAGATCACCAATCCCTCTGAGTCTTATTTCATTTATACTGGGTCTTGTCCCAGTATTTTGAATTCAAACATTGATTTTAAGCTATTATAAAATAATGTAAAAAGAAAAGCTGCTAAGTTTAACAAGGATTTTACAATTTTTTCATTGCTCAAAGGGAGATGAATATTCTCCAGTTTTAGAGACTACTGGCTATAATCTGAAGTAATTGCCAAAGGCATGAGAGGCTTTAAAGCCACAACAATGTGGTAAATTCAGCATGCATGTAAATAAATAAATAAATATTTTATTTATTTTTATTTATTTATTTTTAAGATTTTATTTATTTGAGAGAGAGCGAGCGAGCGAGCATGAGCGGTGGGGAGGGGCAGTGGGAGAGGGAGAAGCAGACTCCCCACTGAGCAGGGAGCCCGTTCGATCCCAGGACCCCAAATTCATGACCTGAGCCGAAGGCAGATGCTCAACCAGCTGAGCCACTCAGCACCTAATAATGTATTTTAAATAGGACAAATTAAGGACAAAGTTTGGAATTTTAAAAAATGCTAATGTGTAAGTACCTAGTAGACCAACCAACTGAGCGACCAAAGAGCACCTGCAGATTTTGGAGGACACAACAGGACTTTACAAACTGGAAACCTAATCCTCTGAACACTACTCTAGTAAATATGCTCAAGTAAAGTGACAGATTTTCTTTACTCTCTTTTTTAAATTTTCACATCAATTTTTTTTTGTTTTAAATTAGAAAACCAATGAATTTAGTAAAGGAAAGTCTAGCGTAGGGTTCGAGTGGACTGAAAATGACAAATTACTTATAACGCGGTACCTGGTGTATTATCTGTCTCCTTACGCTCTTACCCACCCTCTGCCACTCTGCAGACTGCTGCCACTAGAAGGGTCTATTTGGGGCCGGCCCTTTGGGCAGAATCCTTTGCTCTCATGGTATGTTGGGGACATAATACGGATTTCAACATGATAGTTGTCATACAATGTCCCAACTAAAGCATAAGCAAAATAAGTCCCAACTAAAAAGCATAAGCATAGCCGTTTTAAGGTCTTGGGTAGGGTGGGGTCATTTTTTACTCAAGAGCCATATTTCTAACCAAGCAAAAGTATAGCCTCCACTCTGTGCAAATGCATTTCAGATCCACCCAGGAAGAGCTTCTACTCCTTGAGACACCATGCCAGTCACCAACCATTTTAAATAGATTATTCCATTCACTCCTCACCCTGTAAGAGAGGCAGGAAGGAGGAAGCCTTCATGTTTAAGAGCACACACTGGAATCAATTACATGTGAGTTCCCATTCCGGCCACACTGCTTGCTTACCAAATAACGTCAAACAAGATAACAACATCTCTGAATCTCAGCATCCTCATCTGTAAATTGGGGGCAAATGAGATAATACACAGAAAGACACTTAGAGCATGCAGGGCTTACTAAAAGAGCTCAACAATGTTTTGTTCCTATTAATATCCTCAGGGTTCAGATGAGAAAACAGAAGCTTGGAGAAGCTACAAAGTGTGCACAAGATCACATAGTTGGCAAGCGGTGAAACTAGAATATGAACCAGTGTCTATGTGACAAAATAGAGCTTCTCAACCCTGAAACTGGAGCACTCTCCAGCACAAGTCAGAAGTACACCCATTGGCGTAATCCCACTACCCTGGAGACCCTACTTTAAGAGAAAGAACAACCCTTCCACTATGAGACTGCACCTGTATGTGTTTTTGTCGAAATAATCATCTTACAATGTCTTCAGAGTTGAGATTTCTAATATCTTTCAGGCTACTAAAGCGTCTTCCATGGCTTAAGAAAGTCCAGTTCTTTGACTTTAGTTCCTTGTCTCCCAAACTGTTCTTTCAAAAAAAAAGGGTCCTTGGGGGCAGCTTGCTAAGAGGTGCAGAATGGAGCCTGAACACATTGCTTTGGATTCTCTTAGCTTCCACCTTGCTCTTGAGCACCCGTTTCACCTTTTACTCACTATATGGAGAACTGCTACCATTTCTGGCTACAATTTCACACCTGTCAATCCAACGTGGCAAAACAGGAGACCGTGGTAGGGCTCAACAGCAGCCCGAGCCTTTAAGTTCCCCAACCGTTTTTTTTTTTTTTTTTAAATGTCAGAGTTACAATTCTCTTGAATTTTTAGTCACACATCTTCTCCTTCCCCGCCCCCAACATCTACAGAACATCCGTGGCAAAATGAAACATAAACCGATCCTGACAAATTATGATTTTCCTCTGCTAGGTACTTCCCCCGCCCCCTTAACTAAGGGATAGAGGACAAGAGATAATCTTCCCGATTCATATGGGAAGAAGGAAAATTTCCTTTGATGACTCAGATTTAAACATGTCTGTACATGTTTGGTTTTGTTTGGAGATCAGTATTTAATTTAGAAATGCCTTGAGAGCTGAGATTTCTAATATCTTTTAGGCTAATAAAGTAAGGATCTTATATGGCTTAAGAAAGGCGCTGTCACCGTATCTCTTTTCAGTTCATCTGGTGCATGAAAAGCTATTCCATTTGCATTAAAAGCTAAAAAATGTCTGGGCTGCAAGAGCCTGAAAGGTATAGGAGGACATTAGCTGCCTGAAGCTTTACATCAAGTGCAATTTGGGGAAGACAAAAATGGATCCAGATGAGCCTTTCCTTTTATGGAGGGAAGGAGGCTTAGGTTCTAACTTGGCAGAGCAGATTCATTTAGAAAAAAGAAGGCTCCCTCGGTTTAAATTCCAATTTCTAAATCTCCCTTGGGAGATGAAGGCTCTTCTTGTGTGCCTTTCACAATCAAACAGTTGGTTATAGCCTCTCCCCTCCATGGCTTTGAAATCCTCTCCTATTCACATGGTCACAAGGAGACAGCCCTGGGGCAGGGATGGCTGTCGCTTCCTGGGATCTGCTGTTGGCTGTGTTCCACTGGGCCGAAGGGCTTCCAGCATTAGGCAGGGCCACCCTTGGATTCACAAACGCCCGCCACTTGGCGGAACAACAGCCCCACGCAATCTCCCTGTCCCCAGATACCCTCTTGCTACATTAATTGCATCATTGATGCATTTAAAAAAAAAATTAAGTGGCCTGTTAATTCTAAGGCAACCATTTACAAGAGAAAATATTCAAGACTGGCCTTTGTAAACTATAACTGATGACACTGCTTGAATTTTACTTTCCAGTTGTGGTTTCCCTGAGTGATAGGATGCCTACCTAGTGCGTTTGTAAAGAGTTACCCTCTATATTTTTAGTGCACCATGGGCTAGAAAATAACAAAGACTGCTTTGGCCAAAAGGAATCTTAAAGGAACAGACGAGTTCAACTCTAATGGAATCAGCTTTCAATACTTGGCTAGTCCCCCTAACACTGGTAGCTTTTAGCCAAAGAGACACCTAAAACAGTCATGAATTTGACTTCTTGGTGAAAAAAATCAACTCACGTGATTATCTCACTTCCACAGAGTTAATCAACAGCCACGGAATTAATATGCCCTGTCCAGCTAACAGTCAGAGCCCCAAGTTCATAATGCAGAGAGGCAAATGAATTGGACTAGGGTGCATGCACCTGCTCACCTTCCCAACCTGTATGGACTGCCTCGAGGTGCTCCCTAACAAATGACTCCGGCCTACTAGCCCCTGGGGCATCTGCCTTGGGTTGTGGCTGCAGAAACCTGAGAAACTCCAGCCCTGTGAGCAGATTCCACAGCCTCCTGCTGAAGGGGGGTGGGGGGTGGGGGAGAGACAACGCTGTGTGTGTGTGTGAGATCCCTGCCAGGCAGGACAGATGTACAAACGGCCGTGAGAGCCAGGCTGGCTGAGATCACCAGTGTTGAGGAGTCCCAGCTGGGTGGGAGGAGGAGTAGGGGGCACTGACCTGGAAGATGAGCACTTTGAAATGGTTGCGCCTGAGGAGCTGGGCGTGGTTGTTCTCCAGCCGCTTCACCTGCGCGCTCTGCCTGTCCATGCGCTCCTTGACCGCCCTGGTGTGAGCGCTGACCTTGCGGGACTTCTCCAGCAGCTTGCTCACCGTGTTGCTGATGGAGGCCTGGTATTTGGAGAGCTTGGTGAGGTCGTTCTGGATGCCCTTCACGGAGCCCTCGAGGCTGATCTGCCGCTGCTCCATATGGTGCTGGTTCTCCTGCACCGCGTCCAGCATATTTACCAGCTTGTCCAGGAGCGTGAGCACTGTGACGGCGTTCACCTGCGCGTTGTCCCGGATGGCCTCCTCCGTGCTCCCCAGGTTCAGGCTGGGGCTCGGCGTGGAGGAGGGCACTAGGCTGGGGCTGGCTGGCTTCTCTTGCCACGTGGCCGAGCCCAGGTGCTGAAACTTCTCAGCTTGTGCAAGGTCCTCCCCCATGGCTGGACAGGTGGGAACGTGCTTCTCCGGCAAAAAGGACAGCAGTGGGGGTGCGGAGAGAGGCCCGCTGGTCTGAGCTCAGAGCACTGCTCTCCAGGACTGGCAGAGGTTCAGACAGGCAACAACTGGCTACACTGATCAGGGGAACTGCATTCCCACTGCTCTTAAAGGCCCTACTCCACCCAGTGGGAGGCGAAGTTTACAGAGCTGAGAACCACTCAGGGTTCAGAAGCAGGGGCACACTTCCTAACCTCGTGCTCCTTGGCACGGGGGCACTTTCCTGCAGGTGTCGCTTGTTTCCCCCTCCTCCTCTATCCCTTTATAAAAGAAGTTCAATGCCATGTTTTAATCATGACTTCATCTAGAGGCGGAGAAAAACATGCGAATTTGGCTCAGCTCCACAGCCTCCAATTGGCTAAAGCTAGTAAACTTTTCTCAGGCTGCTGTGCTACAGAGGCAACACAGCACGTGTGTGTGTGTGCGCGTGGTGTGCGCGTGTGCGTGTGTGTTTTCCTGGATACAGGTTATTGTAACGGAAAGTATTGTTTGCATTTGCCGTAGAAGGACTGATGGGCTGCAGGAGGAATGGTGTCCTCCTGGGAGGGGCTGCCAGGTTTAAAGGGTACTTGCAGCCAAGCTTGTATTGTGAGTTTTTAATTTCCAAAGGAATGGAAGTAACCCCGATAATGACAAGGAAAAACAGCCCAATGCTTATTACTCTTGCAACTGGGGGTGCAAAAGAAGTTGAAAGAGCCTGAATTTCAGGAATGTGAAAACATGCGCTGCTGTTTTGTACTGGTTATCATGTAATAGAAGGTGAATTTTTGAATGACTTTAAAATATAGAGTTTCTTTTGAGAAGTAAAATTGAAAAAGGAAAAAACAAGACAAAAAAAAGTGTAGTCTCCTTAAGAAACTACCATGCTGATTTGGCTTAGCGAATTCTGAATCTGCGCCAAGAGCTTTTCTCAAATACCTATCTCTGCGAGTCATTTATTGACACGTGCCCACAAGTGTAACTGTCGGGCAGGTTGAGTCGGAGTTTCTGAAGTGCTTCTAATGTTTGACATTTCCAAATTCCTGTTCAGTGAAGTGGCACACCTGTTCTGAAACACGGCCCTCCTCAGCTGAGCCCTTGGGACGCAGGGCTTATTTCCTAAAACGACTTTACATGCTTGAATTGGTTTTAAATGTATCCAGCCTTTCAGAGTGCTTTCAGTAGGAAGTTTGTAATAGGCCTGCTATGAACAGTCTTGAGAAGAACAAATGCCATCTCCTATTGGGTCAGGGATGGATAATAGAAAAGCACTGTTCTTCAGTGGCAAAAACCCACATGCAAGCCAATCAATCAGTGGGTCATTTGTTGTTACGTTTACTGAATTTGTGAATCCCCACTATCTGCTTACTTGTAGGTTTGAGGAACGATCTAGGGGATGTTAGTAAAGCATGATCTCAGACTACACCTGCTACTTAGGGAGATGAATTGAACATTTTTACAGAGACCACTAGTTTCCTCAGATAATTGGTACCCCATATCCGCTTAAAATGAATCTGTTAAAATAGGGACAATGAAAGTGAAAAGATTTGGGGGCGCCTGTGTGGCTCAGTCGGTTAAATGTCTGCCTTCGGCTCAGGTCATGATCCCAGAGTCCTGGGATCAGCCCCTTGTCGGGCTCCCTGTTCAGGGGAGAGTCTGCTTCTCCTTCTGCCCCCCACACCCCTCTCGTGCATGCGCTCTCTCTCTCTCAAATAAATAAATAAATAAATAAAATCTTTAAAAAATTGGAAAGATTTGGTTGAAACTTGATCTTTAAACCATGTAAGAAAATTATTAAAATTAATTGACCTTACATTTAACAAAATTTAGTTGGTCAGTGATATGTTAACTTTTAGAAAAAGAATGAATCGAGTGTTGACTTTGAGAACCATAATTTTCTAACAAAATTACACGGTATCATGATACAATGTCCTTTTACATTTGACTTCTGAGGCAAATCATAAAAAGGGTCATCACTGCAAAAATATTTGAGGGCTTCATCAGTTTTCCAAGAGCCTCTCTTAAATTTTGACATTCATATCATTCCCTTTTGAAGCACTTATTGTGCCATCATCTGCGTAGTTTTTTCTTCTTCGAATGTTAACTATTCCAGCTGCAGATTCTCATTTGTCAGAGGACTTGTCCATGATTCAAGGGTTTCTTTAACATTACCTTCATCAACTTCATGATTTCTTACGTATTTTGAAAGATTTTCAATTTCACATTTTAATCACTTTGCCCTGATTTTGCATTGATTTGCATTGATTTTGCATTGCCTTGTTAGATACTGCATCATCAGTTAGATGAGTGGAGACACTGGAGACATGAATTTGAGGTGGGAAAAAGAGAGAAGCTGGTTTTTAGACAGGAAGAAAGGTTTGAGCTTATTTATGCTTTAAAAGTAATTTTGAATAACTCCAGTAACAGAACTATTGTCTATTGCTGTGTAACAAACCAGCCTGAAATTCAGTGACTGAAAACAACAACAGTCGAGCTTTATTTACTCATGATTCTGTGATTGGCTCGGCAGGGCTCAGTTAGAATGGATCACCTCCATTAGGCAGGCTCATTCACTTGTAATGGATTCCAGGATGCTCTCAATCACATGTCTGGCTCCTTAGCTAGATTGACTAGACTGCTGGGATTTCTTTCTCCTGTCTTCAGCCTCCAGGGACTCTCCTCTGATCTTTCTAACAAACAAATATTGGATATGGACGTCCAGGTGTGGTGCTGGAATGGGGTACTATGAGAGCTTTAGTCACAACAGGGTATGGTTAGGGATCTGAATCCTCCAACTGACCACCAGCTGCCTGCTGTTACCTCAGCTCTCTAAATCATATAAGCAGAGAGGTTATTCCAGGAAAATCCTACTTTATTACTGGCTAGGGCATTGGTCTCAATCTCTATTTCCCATTTTGAATCATTAGTAAGGTTTGGTTACTCCTTTAGCATAATTTCTATGCCGGAGGCAGCTCAATGACCTTCTTGGTTGGCCTTTTTCATTTCAACCTGTACAGGAATCCTGAATTCTTGGTCTTACTACTGTGGCAGTGACTAGAGTCCTGGAAGGATGATCGTGCAGAAAAGAAAACCCTTCTCCTCAATGGCTAAAGAATAAGAAAAGCTAAGCTGGCCACTCCATATATCTTCTCCTTTGAGCCCCATAGTGGTATTCAAAAGCCTTTCAAAGATTGAGTTGCCTCTTGAGCAGGAGGTCATGTGATTCTATTAACCACATGGAAAGAAAGAACATGATGACTTTTTTTTTTTTCAAGGAAAGAAGAGAGAAAGAAAAAAAAAGAAAAGGAAGGTGTCTTCCAGGAAGAAGAGGAATCTTATAACCTTTTTATTCTTCTTAATGAAAACTCTTTCTACTCCCAGCACATACTTGTGAGGTCTCCTTTATGTGGATAGCTCCTGGCTAAGAGGCAACTTTCCATTGATCTTTTATATTGATGAAAGTCTTTTGAGCAGATATACTGACAGTCTTTTGTTCTGGACTACCTTTTCAAGAATGCAGAGTGAATAGCCTTGGAAAGCAAGAAGTAGCAGAGGCTAGGATTATTTGATGTCCAGTATAATAAACGTGATGTTTCCATCTTGGGCAAAAGTTGGGCAGATTGTTGGCAGCCTTTGATAAAAGACTGGAGTTCCCTAAACTTGGGGTTCTTCACATGTGATGCAAATCCACGGCATGTGCAGGATCCACCTATACCCACCTCTGTGTCACCGCCATGTGACGTGAGGAGGGGAGGGAAGAAGAACTGATGGGAACATGGAATTTATTTGTGGGCTGTGCCATGAGTGATAAAGTTGTTGTCTCTGGACCAGGAGTCATGTATCTTCTGCCATGAAACTGGCAAGTTGACTTTTCTCTTTGTGGGGGTGAATGCCCATTTGACCGTTTCTGGATTCTTTCTGCACTGCAGCCTGCATGGGTTCAGAGGAAAGCGAGGGTATAGTTTGCAGAAGGCCTGAAGGTCTTGCCTTTTCCTTATCCTTTGCTGAGGCAACGGAGAGGAATTAAGTGTTCACTTTCACTAGAAATATTAATTAATGGCGAAACATATGTGATTACATAACCCTCGTATCTCCCAACCAAAGTCCCCATATAACCTATCAGGGATGCCAGTACGAAATACAGCGACATATAAGGAGGTCCTGTATATATGAGTGATGAAGCATAGATAATGTGTAACGGTGACATAAAAGGTAGATTCCACTTCACTCCCCTGAGCTGCCATTTAGGGAAGGCCACAGTTTTGGGAAATCCTGGAGGGCCTTGCATTCTCAAGGACCCCCCACCCGCCGCCTCTCAGACTGCCATTTCCCAGTGTGCCATTTCTGTACGACTCCATGCCTGCCCAGTTGTGAACCCTAGCCTCTGCTTTTAAGCATCACAGAACTTACTGACACAAAGCATTCACGAGTGTAGTGAATGTTAATGAAGCTTCAGGGTCACAGTCAGGAAGATTTCTGACAGCTTGCTGGTTCTCCTCTTCCCAGTTTTACATCTTCCTGTTTTCTCCTTACCTCCACTTTCTGTTTCATGAAAGGAAATTTTACTCAAATACTGGCTCTTGGGTTTTATCCTCTACCTCAAAAAGATATTGTTATTATCATAAAAAATAGTTTCCTATTTTCCTAAGAAGAATTCTGGTGTCAGTTCAGATTAACTAAACTTTTTTCCATCTTGTTTTGTTGTCAAGATCAGGGGCGGGGAGATGACTTAGAACATTGTCTATTCATCATTCATTTACTCAACAAGCATGATTGAATCACAAGTAGGTACTAGGAATATAACAGTAAACAAGAGACAAAGTCCCTGTTTGTATGGAGCTTGTGTTCTGAGGGGTGGGAGTGGAGACAGATGATAAATAAAAATACAATGTAATGTCAGACAGTGATAAGTACTGTGAAGAAAAATAAAGCAGAATAAGGGGCCCGAGAGTGACAAGGGTGTTATCTTCCAGTGGTCAAGGCAGTCTTTGCTTAACACATTGAACATATGTGTTAAATACATACACTGAATAGATAAAAACTCTTAATGTAACTGTCTAGTTTGGCTTCATGGCTTTGAAGATGTGATTTAATTTTTTTTCAAAAATATGTTCATGTTTTGTGTTGCAAATGCCATATTCAAAATTAATACTTGTTCAGCTGTCCCTTTGTGACTTGCTCATT